TAATCATCAATTTTTCCAGGAATGCAAGAACAAAGGAACACAGTAAACTGCACCGTGACTATACAATCAGCAATATTCAGACAGGTGGAAACTCTACAGGTCACACACCCTAGGGTCCTTCAACAGATAAAACTTAGGTGACATAGAAGAATGGAGGGGAAACATGCATACTAAGAGACTTCAAAGATTTACCAAATTTTTAATAATGAGCAAGGTCTATGGTATTTGGGAATGGAGAGTTGGGTGCTAAAACTATAAAGAAAGTAATTACTGTTAGAGAAAGAATACTGGGGCTGGGTGAGGGGATCACAAGGTCAGGAGTTTGAGACCAGCCTGACCAATATGGTGAAAACCATCTCTACTAAAAATACAAAAATTGGCTGGGCATGGTGGCGCACACCTGTAATCCCAGTTACTCAGGAGGCTGAGGCAAGAGATTCACTTGAACTCGGGAGGCAGAGGTTGCAGTGAGCCGAGATTGCACCACTGCACTCCAGCCTGGGTGACAAGACCAGAATCCCATCTCAAAAAAAAGAATACTGGTTACTTTTGGCAGGAGGGGTTGACACTGAGTTGAGCACATGGAGGCATTCTGGGGTAGTTGGCAAAGTTCTATTTCTTGACTTGGTTGGTGATTACAAGGTTTTATAATAATCCCCTAAGCTATACATTTGTTTGTTGGTTTTATATATTTTATAATTAAAAAGAAAAAAAGTCATCTCATATGTACAGTCACACTATAAACTCCCAAACAGATGGAATACAACTGATGTGAATAAGATTCAAAGGTAAGATCAGAGAGATAAATTCACAAATGGAAAAGAGAGTTATCTGGGGAATGCTTTATGAAGAGTAGGAACTTCAGCTGAGTCTTAAAACCTGACAGAGAACAGTCACATGAAAGCAAACAGAAAGCACCCTAAAGAAAAACAGTGATACACAATGCATAAATGCTAACACTGATGTATAGTTGAAAAAGAGGAATTTGGGACTTATAAAGAGGACCTCATAGGATTTAGTGCAATGAGGCGGGCAAATCAAAATCTGAGGTTTTTTTCATTGTTTACTTTATAAATCTTACAAATCACTGGCATAAATTGCTATTGTGCTCTACTTCTGAAATACACTAGAATAGGAAAAAGTGAGAACTACAGTTTGGGATTAAGCAAAGGACTTGGGTTCAAATCCCAGCCACATAATAGTTTTAATTTTGGACAAGTCACTTAGTAACTGCGTCTGCTTCCTTAGGAGAATACTTTACCTGAGAAAACAAGACAAATACAAAGTGCCTGTCATAGTGAGATCTTAATAAAACTTCAACCAGGTAATTTATAGTTTAAAAGGAATTTAAAAATTATCTAGGCTAACCGTCTCAAATTTACAAGATAGTACCTACTACGTTGAAGAGCACAAATAGACAAAACTTACACTATGCAGAAAGTTCTACTGGACAGCACTGCAGTATTTCTGAGTAATGCTAATGGATCTTGGGCATAAGATTATTCTTGGATTAATTATTGCTTTATTAAACTAAAAGGCAGAAGAGGAAGTGAGCTATAATAAACATCTGCTTAGACTTCACAATGAAACACATGCTGATTTGACGCCTGTAAAACATGACCAGAGTATAACAATGAATTGAAATGCACACTCGCTCTGTTGCCCAGGTTGGAGTGTGGTGGTGTGATATCAGCTCACTGCAACCTCCGCCTCTCAGATTCAAGCGATTCTCCTGCCTCAGCCTCCCCAGTAGCTGGGATTACAGGCATGTGCCACCACACCCAGCTCATTTTTATATTTTTAGTAGAGACGGGGTTTCATCATGTTGGCCAAGGCTGGTCTTGAACTCCTGACCTCAAGAGATCCACCCGCTTCAGCATCCCAAAGTACAGGGATTACAGGCATTAGCCACCATGCCAGGCCCTGTAATACCTTTAAATCTTGCATATTATACATGGAGTTCTGATTGCTAGAGCTCAAGAAAGAGGCAATGGAACTAAGTAAAGAGAAGATGGAAAAGATCAAGTAAATTGGAGATATGCTATGAGAACAGACCATGACCAACAAAAATACTTAGAAAAGGGTGTGCTCTTTACAATCTAATCTTAAGGGACTTGGAACTGGTATAAGAAAAAAATGCATCACAAAAGACTAAATCAGGAGTTTGTAAGAGAAGCTGCATCAATATCTACTTAAGTGTGACCTGGGGGGTGGGTGCTTTCCTTCAGTATACACCTTGGCAGCACTTTTGGCTCCGGGGCTTTTACACTTTACTAAATTTATTTTTAAGCTTGATCCAGCAAGGCCATTCTCTATTAATTCCAATTACATGAACCGCATTGCATCTAGTGAACAAAGTGTAGATTTATCTAATTAGACTACATATAAAAGTCATTTACTGCTGACAGCTATTCAACTCTGAGTAACAGACAAAAGAACTCAACGATAAGAGACCATTTCTGGGTCACCAAAACATGCTGATACTGATTTTATTCTTAAATAGTAATACAACAGCACATTACTTTTGGGGGTTTTAAAACTTTTAATATTACAATGTTGGAAAATAAAATTAAGTCACGTGAACATTTAAAAATATTTTCATACAGTTAATGGATGTTATTAACTATAAGACTAGATAGAGTTTGTCACTAGCATCTTAACTTATTTAAGCTTATTATTTCATAGGGTTTAATTTGCTGAATGGTGTTCAGTTTGGTGAAGATTCATGCTTTTTTAAGTTTACCATGACATTTCAGTATATAGACAAAAATTTCCCACTGATGGGGAATAATACAAATTTAAAAGTGACTCACATTCAATTTCAGACCACCCCCTTTGCCCTAAAAGAACGGGGGGGGGGGGGAGATAAAAGTGAGGCTGTGTAACTGATGCAAGTGCACTGACACAAATATAAAAACCACTTTCGATATTATAATAGCAAAGGTAAAAAAGACAACAGATATGAAAAGTATAATACTATTTCTCAGAACAGAAATGAACAGATTTCAATTATTAATGACTCTACGTAAAAATCCTGGTTTACCTTCATCCACAATATGACATTAAAGAAGGTAATAAAAAATTAATACCCTGGTCTTTCCATTGAAGGAAAACATTTAAGTAAAATAGTAAAAGCTAGAATGCAAATGACAATCTAAAGTTGTGAATTCTGGCTTTAAGCAGGGTATTTGTTGTAAAGCACGCCAACCAGGCCATAAAGACAAATTATAAGGAGGGCTCAAAACAAAGAAGTGAAGATGGCTGGGCACGGTGGTTCATGCCTGTAATCCCAGCACTTTGTGAGGCCGAGGCAGGCAGATCACCTGAGGTCAGGAGCTCAAGACCAGCCTGGCCAACATGGTGAAACCCCCCTCTACTAAAAATACAAAAATTAGCCGGGCATGGTGGCATGCACCTGTAGTCCCAGCTACTCGGGAGGCTGAGGCAGGAGAATAGCCTGAACCAGGGAGGCAGAGGTTGTGGTGAGCTGCGGCAGCACCACTGTACTCTAGCATGTGCGACAGAGTGAGACTCCGTCTCAAAAATAAATAAATAAATAAGTGAAGACTTGTGGCTAGATCATTTATTGGAAGTAGAAACGAGACAGCAAATGAGACATCTGTAGCCATATAAAGAATAGTCAGAACTACTTTGATTTGTAATTTCGACCATTATTATCCAGGATTACGTAAGGAAAACCACATTTATATTAACACTCATTAGTTCACTACTGCCTTTGGAGGCAATTTATATAAAAATTAAATTCCCTTAATCTAAATGTAATCACCAATGGCTTCCTTTCTCTTCCATAACACTATCACTGACCTAAGTTATGCACAAGAAATAACTAGGAAAACTAGAAGCAACAGAGCAAGAAGTACGCAGATTTAAAAAAGAAATAGAAGCAAGAAGTCTTCAAAAGACCAAAATGTATATTAAAATATATATGGTCCAAGATAAACCTATATGCCAAACTGATAAACGAAATAGGATCCGAGGAGATTAAGGTAGGACTCAATCTAATCCATGAAGCCTTTCTTCCATTTCAAAAATAATATTCTGAGGATCTTTCCTGGGATTGTTCTCTTAGCAAATAAGTCCTAATGACTATCCACATACAGCAGAAAGTCTTCTTTGGTTCATTTTTCTACACATACCTTTCAGAATAATACTCTAAAAATAACTATGATAAAAAGTAACAAAAATAGAATTAAAGCAGGGTTAAACATTTCTAAATATGCAATTTTCTTTATTCACACACAATACAGTATGCATGTTACTTAACATACACCAAACTCATGTTTCATAAATGAAATTAACATTTCAACAAAATTCTATTACTCTATTTGTCAAGGTTTACAGGTTATGTACCTTAATATTCAAGTGTAAATTTTACTACTAACACATAAACATACTCCTGACGTACTATATCTGAAGCAAGAATTGACGTTTGAATCACCCAAAATTTTAGGAGACAATTGATGCTAACGTGATAAACAGAAAAGTTTGACATCTTAAGAAATTACTGGGTTAGCAAATGAAGAAATGAATTATTTCTGCTAAACAGCTCTTTCACAAGAATGTCATAATTAATTTAATTTCAATTCACAGTATTTTAAACAATGAGTACAACATAATTAAGCTGTATCACAGAACGACCAGACTTGTCCAATTCCACTGTACATTACTACTGAAATTATTCAAATGTTAGGTATAAAATTTAAATGAAGAAAACTTATGTAATAACTCTCTAAAGAAGTAAATTTATTTTTTTAGCCTAAAAGGCCTGGCAGAGCTTAACAGTGCCTTGCAGTTTAATTCATCACAAATTTTAAAAACACAAAAACCCCACATTTGAAGCAAAATATTTATCACGTGATATACATTTACCGTTAATTCAGAACACTAAATGCAACAACGCAATGACCAACTTTTTTTCTGCGTATCGATTTACCCTCAAATTTGCGCATAGTAAAAACAGGCAACAAACTAGTACTTACATTTTTGTTGAATTTGGTGAAAGAATGGTGCATATAAAACCTGTGCATATAAACTATCGCAGTGTTTATTGTAAGCTGAGAGCTGGAACACAGTATTTAGGAAATATCTGACAAAAGCAAGATCTCATTCCCAAAACAATTTTGATGGAAAATTCCCAGGTTCTTTTCCAATACCTCCCATTCAAATCCAAACGCCAAACTAGAAATAAAGAAATAAACGCCCGCGGGGGGTGGGGCGGCAGGAAGAGAATAGACTCTACGCCAAATAAATGGGAGGAAGAACTGCTGATCTTTTCACTCTCACAGCGCTGAGGGCCCTGGAACTATTTATCAATGGCTACGACTGACTAAACCCAAAATGAAACAGTTGAAACGCGCGCGCACACACCCATACAAAACCACGCCAAGAACATAAAAGACCTCCAGTGCGCTCCCAAGGTAGAAGAGAGCCGCCATCAAGCCGGCGAGAAGAGCGGGGAAAGACTGCGGAAAACACTTAGGCCTTTCAGCATCGCTAACCCTTCTACCTCTCAAACCCTTAGGGGACAGGGACAAGTCCAAGGAGCCGCCCCTTTTCTGCAATAATCCCTAAAATTTCTCTTTCGCCTGAGCCACACTCCCATCCCCCGCCGCCACCACCACGCGCTGCCCCAAACAGATTACACAACGCAGACTCCTGGCCCGCATTCCTGGGGTCCTATCTCCTCCTCTCCTCCTCTGCTAGCCCCTCGCGACTGCCCGAGCTGGAGCCTTACTTCCCTGACCGCGGGGCCGAGGCCCAGCGAAGGCCGAGGCCGGCGGCGCCATGTTCGCGGAGCACCAGGCCCGGCGACCGGGCAAGGGAAACAGGGCGTGAGCGGCGCAGGATAGGAAAGGATACACATTGAGACGCTGTCCCATCTCCTGGATGAGGTTGGCCGCCTGCTGGCGGCACGAGAGCTCTTTATCCGCCTCCACTCCGCAGCGGCGGCTCGGCGTGTTCTCCAGCTGTTCCCGAGTAAAGAACCAGCGAGAAGAAGCTCCACGGCCCGACGCCATGACACTTCCTCCTCCGCCCGCTCCCTCATTCACCCCCCGCCCCTCCCGGCTCGCGGACTCCCCGCCAAGGCGCGCGACCCCGCCCCACTCCGCTCGCCGTAGACCACGCACCGCCCTTTTTCACCACCGCCCCCGCCCGTGCGCATGCGCGGGGTCTGCTCTACCGGCTCGCCCTGGTCTTTTGCTTTCTTTTTCTGTCCTCGGCCTCGCTCTCGCGCGCGGGACCACAATGCTCCGCGCCGCTTGTCATTGGGAGGCGCCGAAGGTGGGGGTCGGCTCGGAAGGAAAAGGTCGGCGCAGCGCATGCCGGGTCTAGGGTTGGCTGGGCGGAGGGGCGGGGGGGGGAGGGGAGAGTGGGAGAGGCTGGACCCTGGCCGGTGTGGAGAGAGGCGGTCGGGCGGCTGCGCTGTGGGGTCTGGGCGTGGACTTCGAAGGCCCGTTGGGCGCTTCCTTTGATGGGAGGTCTAGCGGCCCGTTAAAAAGAGAAAAATACCCTTCACTGTCGCAGCCTCACGCCACTACCTCCATTTTCCTTTCGGGTGGGTCCGCGCAGTCTCGTAGGCGTGCGACTCCGGCCTCCGCTACCAACAGCCTCCGCCTAGCGCGCGGCTCTGGCGTGGAGCTGGCCGGGAAAGAGTGCACAGGAAGTCACGCTCCTTGGCTGTCCGCGTCTGAGTGCTTTTTTCACCTTACGTTATGTTGTTTAAATCCCAGACCACTCCGTCCGTGGGTTTATTTTTATTTTTTCAAATTACTTGCCAAACGCTATCCAACTAGCAACGAGAAATTGAATTTCTAAATGAGGTGTTGAATCTAGACGAGGCGTGTTTTCAGACCGTGCTGTGGCTTCTGCGAGACAAGGTTGGGGAGAAGCAGATAAGTGCAAGAGGAACTGGGTTAAAATTTTATCTTTAGGATTTGATGCGGGAACATCCCACATCCCTGTTGATTAACTCCTGCATTTCTTCCTGTAAGAAAACTCCACAGAGCTTCACTCGGAGTTTGTGTTGTGAATAGGGTTTCCAAGTTTAAAGTCCTAAGTATTTGGAGGCCGGGCACGGTGGCTCACGCCTGTAACCTCAGCGCTTGGGGAGGTCCAGTGGGTCGATCACTTGAGGTCAGGAGTTCCAGCGCAAGGGCAACATGGTTAGACTCTGTCTTTACCAAAAGTACAAAAATTAGCCGGGCTTGGTGGCGCGCCTATAGTCCCAGCTACTCCCGAGGCTGAAGTGAGAGGATGGCTTGAGCCCAGGAGGTGGAGGTTGCGGTGAGCTAGATCTCGCTGCTGCACCCCATCCCTCCTGGGCGATAGAGCAAGACCCTGTCTCAAAAATAAAAAATAAAATATTTATTTGCCAAAGACCATGAAGGCAAGTGATTTTTTGGGGGCTCCCACGCTCAGTATATGCATTGCACAAGAATATTGATTATAGTAGACAGTTCTTGTGAACAGTTGCCATTTCATACCTCCCTTGCTTTACGTTTTATGTTGCTTGCAATTTCCAGGATAGATTGATTTAAAGCAACATTTAAAAAGTGCACATCCTTGGCCAGGTGCAGTGTTTCATGGCTGTAATCCCAGCACTTTAGGAGGCCAAAGTGTTCTAGACCAGCCAGGGCAACATAATGAGACCCCATCTCTACAAAAGTGTTTTTAAAAATTAGCTGGATGTGGCGGCATCTGTAGTCCCAGCTCCTTGGGAGTATCGCTTCAACGTGAGAGGTGAGGTTGCACCCCAGTTTGGGTGACAGAGCGAGATCCTGTCACACACAAATAATAAGTGCCCCTCCTCAACATCCATTCATAATAAAAACTCAGCAAACTGGGAATAAAGGAGAACTTCCTCAACTTGATAAAGAGCATCTACAAAAATTCTACAGCTAACAATAGATTGTTTCTATTGTGAGAAACTACATTCTTTCCACCTAAAGTCTGACACAAGGCAAGCATGTCCCCTCTCAACCAGTCTTTTCAACGTGGTACTTGATGTTCTAGCTAACAAGAAGTAAATTTAAAGTACACATATTGGGAAGGAAGAAATAAAACTCTAGAATTTTGGGATACAAGGTTGAATACAAAAGTCAGTTGTTTTCCTGTATACCAGCAATGAACAATTGGAATTTATAATTAAAAACACAATGCCATTTACAATAGTACTGTCTCCCCAAAGTAATACAGGTTAAGTATCACGTATCTGAAATGCTTGAGACCAGATGTGTTTTGGATTAGAGATTTTTTTAGATTTTGAAATATTCGAATTATAAATTTAGTCATTGAGCATGGTAATCCAAAAATCCTAAATCTGAAATGCGCCAATGAACATTTCCTTTGAATGTCATGTCGGGGCTTGAAGTTTTGGGTTTTGGAGTGTTTCTGACTTTCAGATTTAGGGATGCTCCACCTGTACTTAGATATGGATCTAGGCAGGGCATAGTGGTTCACACCCATAGTCCCAGCACTTTGGGAGGCCAAGGTGGGGGATTGCTTGAGGCCAGGAGTTCAAGACCAGCTTGGCCAATATGGGGATACCTCATCTCTACTAAAAATACAAAAATTAGCTGGGTGTGTTGGTGCATGTCTGTAATCCCAGCTTCTTGGGAAGCTGGGGCACGAGAATTGCTTGGACCCAGGAGGCGGAGGTTGTAGTGAGCCGAGATCACTCCACCGCACTCCAGCCCCCATGGGTGATAGAGCAAGACTCTATCTCCAGTGTGGTATTTGAGAAAGAACAGACACATAGATCAATGGAACATGATAGGGAGCCCACCCATAAATAGTCAACTGACCTTTGACAAAGGAGCAAAAGCAAGTCAATGGAGCAATAATAGTCTTTAACAAATGATGCTAGAACAACCAGAAAGCCATATATATATATAGTTTTAAATCTACGTGCAGACCTTATACCTTCTACAAAATTTAACTCAAAGTGAGTTGCAGACCTAGATGTAAAATGCAAAACTGTAAAACTTCTGGAAGATAACATAGGAGAAAATATAGTTGACCTTGTGTTCGGCAATGAGGTTTTAGATGCAACACCAAAAGTACAATCCATGAAAGAAAAAACTAGTAAGTTGGACTTCATTAAAATTAAAAACCTCTGGCTAGGCGCAGTGACTCATGCCTGTAATCCCAGCACTTTGGGAGGCTGAGGCGGGCGGATCACCTGAGGTCAAGATTTCGAGACCAGCCTGGCCAACATGGTGAAACCTTGTCTTTACTAAAAATTAAAAAAAAATTAGCTGGGCATAGTGGCGCGTGCCTGTAGTCCCAGCTACTTGGGGAGGCTGAGGCAGGAGAATCACTTGAACCCAGGATGTGGAGGTTGCAGTGAGCCAAGATTGTGCCACTGCACTCCAGCCTGGGCGACAGAGGGCGACTCCATGTAAAAAATAAATAAATAAAATAAAAAATTAACTGGGCATGGTGGCAGGCACCTATAATCACAGCTACTCAGGAGGCTGAGATAGGAGAGTTGATCAAGCAACTTCACCTGGGAGGCGGAGGTTGCAGTGAGCCGAGATCGTGCCACTGCACTCCACCCTGGGCAACAAAAGGTGAAACTCCATCTCAAAAATTAAAATTAAAATTAAAAAAACTAAAACCTCCGTTCTGTGAAAGACACTGTTAAGAGAATGACATCCAAGGAAGAAATATTTGCAAAACATATGTCTGATAAAGAACTCTTAAGATGGCTTAACTGCTAAATTCTACTAAACATTTAAAGAAGAACTAACACCAATACTACACAAACTATGCTGAAATAGAGAAAGAGAGAATACTTCCAAACTCATTCTACAAGGCCAGTATTACCCCGATTCTAAAACCAAAGACACATTGAAAAAAGAAAACTATAGGCCAATATCTCTGATGAATATTGATGCAAAAATCCTCAATAAAATACCAGCAAACTGAATTCAACAATACATTAGAAAGATCATTCATCATGACCAAAGGGGATTTATCCCTGGGATGCAAGGATGGTTGCAAATAAATCAATGTGATACATCATATCAACAGAATGAAGACTGGAAACCATGTCATTTCAATTGATGCTGAAAAAGTATTTGATACAATTTGACATCCCTTCATGATAAAAACCCTAAAAAAACGGGATAGAAGGAGCTTACCTCAACATAATAAAAGCCATGTATGACAGACAGTCCCACAACTAGTATCATACTGAATAGGAAAAAAAACAAAGCTTTTCCTTTAAGATCTGGAAGTCGACAAGGATGCCCATTGTCACCATTATTCAACATAGTACTGGAAGTCCTAGCTAAAGCAGTCAGACAAGAGAAAGGTATAAAGGGCATCCAAACTGGAAAGGAAGAAGTCAAATTATCTTTCTTTGTAGATGATATGATCTTGTATTTGGAAAAACCTGAAGAGTCCAAAGGAAAACTATTAGAACTGATCAACGAATTCAGTAAAGTTGCAGGATACAAAATCAACACACAAAGATCAATAACATTTCTATATGCCAACAGTGAACAATGTGAAAAAGAAATTAAGAAGTAATCCCATTTACAATATTTACACATAAAATTACATACGTAAGAATTAACCAAAGAAGCAAAATATCTCTATAATGAAAACTATAAAACACTGATGAAAGAAATTGAAGATGACACAAAAAAATGGAAAAATATTCCATGATCATGAGTTGGAAGAATTGTTAAAATGTCCATATTACCCAAAGCAATCTACAGATTCAATGAAATCCCTATCAAAACATCAATGTCATTCTACACAGAAATAGAAAAAACAATCCTATAATTTATTTGGAGTCACAGAAGACCCAGAATAGCCAAAACTATCCTAAGCAAAAAGAACAAACCTGGAGGAATCACATTACCTGACTTCAAATTATACTACAGAGCTTTCATCACCAAAACAGCGTGGTACTCACATAAAAACAGATACATAGACCAACAGAATAGAATAGAGAACCCAGAAACAAATCCACACACTTACAGTGAACTCATTTGTAACAAAGGTGCCAAGAACATACACTGGGGAAAAGACA